CAAATGTTATGTCTTTGCTTATTGCTCATAATTGTTCATGCTTTGCCTCCTACAGTTTTACTGTTAAAATTGCTTACAATTGCTTCCCATTTGATACTGGATTTAACCAATTTTACCTGAGCAATGGTGCTTGTAATCTCATTGGTTGACCAGAGTTTTGCCCCACCTCATGCCCACCTAAGCAGTTGCCATGTCTTCTCCTCCACCTTAGACCCACCTCACCACATGGTTTTCCTCTATAAAAGTCCCTAGAAGTGGGGCTGGTGAGATGGCTCAGTGGTCTAAAGCACCTACTTAGAACAAGCTAAGCAAAGCATAGGGACCTTGGTTCAGTCCCCCAGCACCACATGCCAGCCATCCCCGCCCCCTGGTGGGCTGAGCTGGCCACACACTAAATAAATAAATAAATAAATAAACAAAAAATTAAAAAAAAAAATGTCCCTAGAAGAGACAGCTTGGGGGAGGGGGAACTACCCGCTCGGGCCCCCCTCCTCCTGTCCCTCTCTCGGGACAGGAGCTTTCTTTCTCAATAAATATATTCTGCTCATAAAAAAAAGATAAGTAGTTAAGCATAAAGGGAGGGGAACCAGTCACAGGAAAAGTAATGCAACCACACAACTAAATCAATATCTTTCAGTAATAACTCTGGGAATGGTCTCATGTTCCCAATCAAAAGACCCAGATAGGCTGAATGGGTCAAGAAACAAAACCCAAGGATATACAATATGCGAAACGCACGAATCCAGAAATCAATGCACAGGTTAAAAATCCAAGGATGGAAAACAATGGTCCATGCAACAGGAACCTGGAGAAGGACCCAAAACATTCCACCAAAATACTCTTAAATTTGATAACCAAGTTCCGTACCATAAAAGATACAAAATCGACACATAAAAATTAATAATGTTCCAAAAAAAATTAATAATGTTCCTGAACATCAATAATAAACTCATTGAGAAAGAAATTAGGGAAACAATACCCTTCACAATAATATCCAAAAATTAAATACCGGGCTGGTGAGATGGCTCAGTGGTCTAAAGCACCT